GCTAAGTGTGACACTTCATGTAATATCATCCGAAACCAGTGTGAACACACAAAATTTTGCAGCGTTCAGATGGATAGTTCGCTAGTGTGGTTACGCTAGTCATGATGGACATACCTGTTTGCGATGTAAAGAGTTGTCCATTGGTAATTCTGACTGTAGAGAATTTCATAAAAATAAATGCAATACTGTTATATTTTCAAAACTGAAAGAAATCGCTGCTGCTGTCCAGCAGAGGAGTCGTTTAAAGTCCACGAAGTTTTGTTCTTTCGTAAGCGCAAAGGTGTGTTTAAGGAACAGTTGAAGCGGGCGCAATACGTGTACGTGATCCGGCTGTGATCGCGTGTGTCACGTGATCCTGTGTCAAAACAGGTTCTTAGGAACTTTGAACTCGCCTGGATAACGCGACGCGCGCTGCCACAACTCACTAAAGAGACATTTAAGAACAAGTTTCCTCGCAATTAGATGCGATTTCACCTTTTCATCTGACTAGTTGTTTTAATCCCTTCCCCGTTAAATTTAAACACTGAACCGATGTGAACCATTCATTTTGACCATCACTATTCTAACTCCCGAGTACGTTCTGACGTGAGGAAAATTATCCGAAAATATTATTGCTCCTCATTTTGCGTTCACGAGCTGATGTAGGAGTTGGTTTGACGCGAACCATGCAATTTACAAATGCATATTACTAATTAAAATACCCGTACCTACACACTGGATTCATCAGTATTTTCAGATGTTAGCATCTTAAATTATTGTCGTCGTTCGCGGCCTTGCCAATTCCAACATCTACGGATAACGAGTTCAGTAACAGCAGGTTTAGTATTTTGGAGGATACAGTACTTTGAGCAGCACTGTTCCAAATGTTGGTACAATCCAGAGCAACAGTATTCGCAAGTATAATTGAGATCAGTTTGCCGTTCCCAACATTATTTCGCAGAAGCTAGTACCTTCGGATTACCATTGAGTGATAGTATTATTTTTACTCAACGTTGTTTGGCAGGTATTTTCCTTCGCTATTTTAACGAATCCTAGAGAGGCCAATCAAGCTAAATTACGATGAACGCCAGGATACTTGAACAGACAGTTTGCTGCAAGACACACCTTGATATCATTAGGTTTGGTTGAGAGGGTCTTGAAAGATAGTAGGCCAGAATTTTTCTGTTCAAAATTTATGAGGATTGGTGAAGACTGACTATGGAGAGTTCGACTAATAGACCTTGTCTGACATAGTGCTAATGAATATCGAATGAAAAACAGAAGCTAACCACTTGCAACCAACAGCTGACTTGTTCGTAGAAAACAGAACAAAATACTGGTAATTATGTTTGTTTACTGGCTGTTGATCCGGCGATGGTTAATTGATTCGTCGAATATGGACAATGTGTCTCATCGACGGTGACTTTGCCATCTACAGTTTATAGAACCGTATTTGGACTTCATTAAGTCACGTTCACGTATCAGTTCATCAACAGAGATTATTAGATTAGCTGTACAAAGGAGCTATAAACGATGTCACAGTGAATGTGTTTGAATCTTTGGCCATGTCCCACAGTTTTTGAAAACTTCCATTAGTGGAAATCAACATGGAAGTATATGAGGACCATCCTTTAAATCTACAAGGTTTTACTATTAAAGTAGAGGAAGTTGAAGCGATATCCCCCAAGGGAGCCTCTGATGAATTGCAAATGGGGGCTTGGAATAATTAAAAAAAGAGTAGTTGACGTGAGGCCAGTTGAAAAGCATTCTTTAAGGAATGAGAAAATCATAAAATACTCACTTTTAAGACATCTCTAGCCCGAAAACTTTGACGAAGTAAGAACGGTTTGCTCAAAGACATTCACGGACTAAGAAACGGCTATTAATTTGTAATTCTAGTTCACATGATTAGTGATCTGCTCGGAGGCATTTTAAAATTTAGTAGTCAGCTTAACAGTTCAGCCGAATTCCTTGCGATTATTTAACCTTTTGGCTGAACCGACACATATTCGTGATCAAGTCGAAAACATTTCGGGAACTCAATTGCTCAAAAGCAAGTTTGTAATGGATAAGAAAACGTTATCTAACTCCTATCAAGTGGGCAGCTTTGCTTGACGAATCAGATCATAGGTTGGACCAAGAAATCACTTCATTTCACGTACTCTGTGCGTGCAGCCGTGGTTAATGACCATGTCAGTGGGATACTATTAATCGGAGAAACACGAAGCCAGTCTTTTCCAACTGAGACAGAAAGAGCAGTCAATTGCTTTTCAGGGCTAATCCATTCTGCTTTCAGATTTGTCAACTTAGTTTCTTTGGTCGTATCTTCAAGTGACGAGGATAGGTTAGCAGACGCGTATTTGTAGTGGTTGCCAGCATTGGAGACTTAGGGCAGTGTTTACTCTTAAGGATGTTTATTTCTATTCTGAAGGTTTCTCGTATCTCAGGGCGAATTCTAGAATACGTTGATAAAGATTGCAAATCATGGTGTCATACTGAGTTTCCTCGGCTATGAAGCTGTCCAAACTAAGGTCTGAAAACAAAAGCGTTCCACACATCATATGGAAATAGCAATGAAAAAACCTTATGACGTCATACAATGACGCCCAGATGCCATAACATGGAGCTATTCGACTTGCTGAAAGTGAACATTTCTTACAGTAGATATACACCACTTTGAGGGTGACATTTCAGGAAATTTCGGGACAATATTCTCGACCATGGTAGTCTTCAAAATTTGCATTTATCCTCTGTAGTAGCTCGAACTCCATGACTGACAGGCATGTTCTTATTATGCAGTTTGCATGGGAAATATTGTTCACAATTCTGCCGGCCACCACACTGCCACATCACCGCCATACTTAGATGCGACCATTAACAATGTTAGGCTGTCAGACAGCCATCTGAAAGATCACTAACTAATAATAATCGGTTCCTCGTGCGTGCGTGATAGCACGAGGAGCGACAGCATTGCTAAACAGGCCTTAAATCAAGCGGAAAGCGCTAACTCCCAAGACACCCATAATACACTGTCTTTTCGGTGAATACTAAAAGCCCTAGAAATTGATGTATGGAAACTTGTCATGCTATTGATCAAGTCCTCTCAAAAAGCGCAACCACCTCTGAACCTCGGGCGAACTTTTAGAAGAGTAGCCACAATAACACTTGTGATACAGTAGTCTGCTCTATGTGACCACTGTTCTTTTTTATTACTCTACATTCTCACCATTATTGAAGAACATCTGTGAAAATAATGAATAATCTTGCTTAAAATAATCCCTACCGACACTAATGAAATGCGGGGAAAACGATAAATTTGCAGCAGAACTATTTGAATATCTGACAAGAAGACGATATTGGTTAGATCGTTACCTGGGATTCTTGTATCAAGAGATTTAGGGTGCCCCATTCTGAAAGTTATTTTAAAGTGAAATTGTTTTTTGGTTTATATTTCTTATCACGAGCCCAATTTTCTTTGGTGTTTGGTTTGAGCAGCGGTTGAGCATACAATAAACCAAAAAGAAAACATTATATCTAACTGTCCAACAAACGTCAATGTATTTCAATTGTTTCATTGTGATTGTACATTGAAGTTTCATCATACAAATAGATTTTGCGTGGCCCATGTCCCATTTTTGTCTGACATCCAAAACTGATTTGCTTTGCTGGGATAACTTATTCCAACAGCCACCATACAGGCTGCTTATGTTGATTTATCTGTGTATGTCCTCGTTCACCATGTGAATCATCATCAAATGTACTCAGCCTGAAGTTAACAACCTTCGGATAATCCGTGATTTAGCGCTTGAGATATCTAGGGGTGATAGATTTTTTATTAACAGTGTGTAAGAGACACCCATAGCATTCATATTCTGTAACTGTTTAAAAATTAAACTTTCGAATTGTGGAGCCACTTTGGTTTTATTCACTCTTGCTGCAAGCCCGGAAGTTAGATTTCGCTTGACGAAGAATCAGGAAACGGGTCGAATTACCAATTAATCCTTTTGCCATGTTTTTGAGGTATTGGGATACGAGAAAAGTTAAAATTCAGCTGGTTGTGCGAAAAGAATTTCCAATGATTTGCGCTTCTATCCAAGCCCACAAATACAAATAACAGATATCTTGCTCTTGCAAACCTTTGAAGATACTATTGTTTAGCCACCAAAGCCAAACTAGGTTAGCAGTCAGAACGAACTCATGGATCGTATTGTCAAAGTTCGTTATCGCACTTCTCACGATTCGTAACTGGTATTCACTGAATTTATTCAGTTATATGGGTAGGGTATGAAGAACAAGACACTTGTTGTTGGCACTCTACCCTTCTCTCAGTGCAAACGGTGTGAATTTCAATCACACTTATAAATGGCTCTGAAAAACGTCTTGAATCATTCCTCTCCTTTAAGGCTAGCCAGCTACCGGTCTCTTAAATAATAAACACTGCCGTTGCCTTTTTAACTATTGCGCGAATACCGTCCAAATGAAAAACTATAGGCAAACAGTTGTTGAGAGGATAATGCCCTATGCAAGCCACTGAGAACAGCCCTTCTGGTGCTGCTGTCCGGAGGACAGTTAGCATGACGAAGAAAGCGTATTCTGTATTTGATCCACTGGCGAATCAAAAAAATCTAGATAATTCATCCCAAGAGGTGTTACATAACATATACGCGTATGTTTCCGTATTACGATGCGCATTTTTGAAGATAAAGTTTTGCGGACAGTTTATAACCCTAGAAAGTCCGCCTCCATTTATTGTTAGTGGGTTGCAAAAGTTAGAAATTTGAGGGTATAAGCTAGAGGTAAGAAAAATTTGCCCACATACGAACCGTCGTGTATCGTTTGTAAAATATCTCTCTGCGTTTCACGCAGGCATTAGATTATCCAAAGGACACACTGATTGTTCAACTATCTGTCATGATGAGAAATCTGTTCTACTCTGTCTGACAGCAATGGAGACTGCTAAGAGTGCACAGCATTTTCGCTATGTAATCTTCCCGTAAGACAAACATGAGCACTTAGATTCAATGACCTACTATCTAGACATTTTACCAGGTCATCATATCTGTTTCTTAATTTCGGCGCGTCAGACTAAGTGCTTTGACCACAGAAACGGCCAAAGCTCATGTTTGCCAGATGTAACCAAGCTCAAGACATCGGTGAAAGACCAATGGGACATCCAACCCAATGGCTTGAAAAGCACTGACAATTGTATAGTGAGTCTAGGAACAAACCAGCGAAAGATACAAATAGTAAGAAAACCATCAAACGAAAAGTGTTTCCCACAACCGATTTCAGCATCATTTTCTGTGGTAGGTTGTCTTGCTTGTTTTATGTCCACTCTAAGTAAGCCTCTGTTGTTTTAGTCTACAGCAGTTATCGTTTGATCTTCAGAGATCAAGTGACTACAAAAATTTCTCAGCTAATGGACTGAAAGATGTAATAAAAGCGATGGACTTAAATCGCTTTCTCATTCATAAATTGTCAATGTACTTGAGTGCATTTTGCAACTTTGAAATACCATTTCCCAAATTCTACTAGAAGGCTAATTTTGGCACCACAGTTGACATCGCACATTTCATTTCGAATCTATTCTAATTGAACCGCGGTTGACACGGAAAGGCAAGGAAATCAAAGTGACCCTTAAAGCCAGTAATACCTAAACAGCATTTCAGTTAATCCATATGACCGGTCCCCGGGAACCGTCTGTGAACAAAAATATACCATCTTGAGTAAGAAAGAACGCCGTGGGGTCAAACAAGTATCGTGACCATATGTTGCCACTTACTTGGAGCCCACAGTTTAAGTCGTACACCGGGAGGTGAACAAGAAAACCCCTATGGCCTGGGGGATTTATGACTGTATACGTTCTCTCAAGCGCCACCGAACCTCTGGTGTGGATGACCTCGCACCCACAATTTTCAAAGTGATGAAGTCCTCAATCAGCGCTTGTCCGCCTACATCTGAGATAATAGGACTGTCAAGGAAAACTGGGAAGTGTCAGTGATAGTGCCTATATCCAAAAAACGGCTCGTAATAAGTGTAGCAGCGACAGGGGGCCCGGTCATAACGAGATATCTGGTGTCAATTGCGCTTCGTCGCTTTATGCTAGCTCGCGAAACATTGACTCGAGAGCAGCAAGCTAAATTCCGGCCTGGTAGAGATTGCGTTGGCCAAATATTCACACTCCGTCAGGTACTAGAAAACGCCGTCATACAAATGACCCTCAATTTTAGTATTACTGTATTCCCAAGGCTGATTAGACTGGGTTGACCTACCTGGTCTCCTCACCACGCTGGCAGATCAAGGAGTGCCCTGGAAGTTCGTGAACATAATAAGCTCTTTGTATTATCAGACTTTTGGATATAAGAGGCTAAACGGTGATCTCTCCAAAAGCTGCCGTACAAAAAGTGGCGTTCGTCAGGGATATCCACTCTCTCAAATCCTATTTGACTTTGTGATTGATGAAGTCATGAAACGAACGCTGGAGGGTCTCCAAAACCTTGGTGTTCAGGTAGCCTGTGACAAAAACTTTGTTGATCTGGGAGATGCAGACGACATCTTTCTTGTCTTTGAGGAGAAGAAGGCGCAGGTGCTTTTGGATGAGATGATCAAGGCCATCCCGTCCTTTGGGGTGCAAAAAGTGTGGAAGTGCAGTCATCAATCCAGAAGGAGAAACTCAAAGTCATGGAGCGTTCCACATACCTTGGAAGTTGTACCATTTCTAAGTGTAGTGTCAAATATGAGGTCAATGCGCAAGTCTGCAAGGCCCGGGCCGAGTTTGCCAATTTGAGTTACCCATGGCGCCAAACCGGTGTATTTCTGCATCTCAGTAAACTTGTGTATCAGGTTACAGTGCGGGTTGTTTTATTGTGAGACTTGGCCTGTTCGAGCAGCAGAATTGAGGTATCTTCGTGTGCTCAACAATCGTTATCTCAGGACCATAGCTGACATGAGTTAGTGTCCGGGAGTTTCTAACGCGGGAATCAGAAAGCGAGTTTTCAGTTGTGCAGCAGGGACTTTTAGTAAAGAACATGTCCAGCACCAGATTCTGCGTTGATCAGGCCGTGTTGAGTATGTCAAACCATCGTTTGCACAAGGGGGTGGTGTTTTCCGTGTCCAGTTAAAAGTGACCGAGTCAGAGAGGTGGCTAACTACTGACCTAGAAAAGGGATATGAAGGAGTATACAAGACGTCTGGGTGCTATCGGTGATACTCGCCTTTTAGGATGGGGTTCGCGTGATCCCTAGTACGTCTGGCTGGAGACACTAAAAGAAATGGGAGCCAACTGACGTCAGTGACGTTTTTGTTGTCAGTTTCTATCCAGATTGTTTGAGTAAATTTCTGGAGGTGTAGACACATATTGACACACATATAGACACACATTGTGGTAAGCTAGCACTAAGTCCCTTCCCTTTTCCCTTTGTTCTTTTCTTTACAATAAGCCTTTCAAATAAATCATGGTTGTACGGCAGCGAAGCATGTATTGAACACTGATGTCATGTTGTCGATGATGATGACAAGCTAATTGTTTGCTCTTCATTTTAAAACGGATATCTTCTTTGTCTTGGATTTTTCGGCTCAAGTACTTTTTTCGTTGTTATGATAGAATTTGGTAAATTGCCTTTCAAAATCGGACTTGAACCGGGACTGAAACTCAAGCTCAGATTAGCGTCTTTGTATGATGTCTCAACAGATGTTTTAGGCTTTCTGGCAGCTATTTCAACATCCGAGTAACTTTTAATGAGAGACTAGCTTAGACTCGCTTCCCTCCCATTTGAATAATGTCCAGTTCATAGGTAGCGTGTCTGAACCGCCGACGAACTTCTCAGTATCTCCTTCGCGCAAGAATGTGGGTCGAAGCAGCTTCAGTTCAACTTGTGAAAGTAGGACGAGCATATTTCGACTGTTTTCTCACTTATGCATTCTCTCGCTCCGGTGTGTTTAAGCTTCTGTTGCGGCGGACCGAGGTTAAAGAAAGTAAATACGATGGCCTGTTCAGACCTCAGTTCAGTTGCTTTACTTTCAAATTAATTGCCCATTCGGTTCAAACCTCCATTAATTTGTCAATGTCAATATTGCTTATTTCATATTTCGTACAGCAAAATGACATCGCTCTAAACCTTTCAATCACATTAAATTTAAATTGTTGTCTTGCCCCTAGTACGCCGCCTAACAAATGCCATTTCAAAGAGGTGCACTAAACTTAAAGTGAGGTGTGTTGAGAAAGAGTATTGAGACTACTAGTTCACGTGATACCTGTTGTCTTGTGAGAGAAAAAAATCGATAATTGGCTTCTGAGATAACACTGAACATGGAGTCGGACGGTATGCTACTAATCCATTAATTTGGTTTGGAGTTTGAAGTGTTGGCTGTTGAGTGATTCTCATGAATCCTTAACATGTTCTCTTCTACTGACTGATGTGAGAATGATTTTGGGGAAGTGCAGAGTTTGAAACAGTCAACCCAAATAGGGTTGGGTCGAAACCCCGTTCACTTCAGCAACAGACATGTTATAATACAATGTGTTTGACCCTGTACTGAATATAATCCACTCTGATTTTACCTCCACCCAGTAAATCAGCTGATTTCAATGCGTCCACCACTTCGATGGAACATCAAAACCCGCGACAGAGTACCATATCCACATACCCGTTGTGCTCGGTTTACGCCGTGCTGTTTCGTTCACACCTCGTTTTGGGTGTCCAAATCAAGATGTATCAACGCAAGACTGAAAACACCATGGCTAAATAGTGCGTTATGTTGCCTTGGTTACTTGGTTGAAAGTAAGCCTCAGGCAGGAGGGCCTATTAGGGGGGCAATCGGATAGTTGCAGACAAACGCGGAACAGGATAGATGGCGCAACCAAGCATAGACTCAATCGGTTGAAAAAAAGTATGCACTCAAAGTTTTCATTATAACCTCATTCTCGTGTATGAACCTTAACTGAGTCTCTACGAGTGCCAAAGCTAACTATATATATATATATATATATATATATATATATTACTATGGCTCATTCAATCTTAGAACCTTGAGTAGTTACCTGAACTTTCGGCCAGTTTGTGCACACGTAGTGGTTCCGCACGAATGTGGTTACATTCGCTCCGGCGCTTGGCGCAGGCACCGTTGTATGGGGAGCTATCGGTGTCACTCTATCTTAGTATCTTGAGGTCCATTAAAAAAGAACGCAAACATGTATCTCAATCGTCTCGGTCTTCAGGTGCACCACACGGGTCCATCTGAGTCGGGCGGTCAAGATAGCTCTGAAGATTCGACCCAAAAATACCGCCTGAAATGTTTGATAATAATAAGCGAAACCGATTGGGTCCGATCGACCGAACGACCAATAGCCTTCGTTGACCCGTAGGTACAGTCAGAAGGCGACAACAAACTGCCAGCTTTCCCTATGGCTCCAACAGACAGGAAACTTATCCAAGAAACTGCAAGAATTTTCAGGCAGCAACAGCCAAACCATCCTGTCGATTGCAGCTTTAGGGTGAATTTCCGGTTGGACCACATCACACCTCAGTAATAAACTCAGACGTTCCAGGAAACGAATGATAAATTACGCGCTTTTTTGAAAGAACATTTCAAGCTTTCTCATAAAAATTCAAATTCATTTCCCAAGCAAAAAGGCTACTCTGAAGTCGCTTTGGGAAATGGTAACTACTTAGATTTACAAACCAACCAAAACAGACTGCTTTCACTGAATTATGAGCGGATTACTGTTGTACAATTTACTGGTGACAGCGGAATTTGAAGAAACTGGCTTTTCTTATTTATTTTTGGTCCACTTTGGCGATCCTTTTGGTACTAGTGGACTCAGTACATTGACTCATTTTGTCCTACTCTATAGCAATTGCTGCACTTTTAGATCACGCTTTGTTTGCTTGTCAAACTAAGACATAGTAGATAATGATACAAGATATAGTGAAAAAACTAATCGATGATGAGATATGCCATGCTAAACTACAATATCTGGATCTGTTTTCCCCTGACTGGAGGATATGCTGGAAGCCCCTATAAAATTTCAGGGCATCATGATGGTCTTTCAAACATAAACCCTATCAGAATTTCCATGGCTCGCGCTCAGATCATGACTGCAGGCCGATTAAAAATAAGCTCAGCTAAAAACAATAGTTTTTACCAAATTAGAATTGGTCCGAAGTAAACTCGGGACGTCTGAACTCGCCGAATCAGTGTTTTGCATGCTCTATCCCGGAATTTTACAGTAAACCGTGCAAATTAGTCAAACTCACTTTAGAGAAGCAGAATTCAGTTCACTAGCTTTTAGTCCCTCGTCAACTTGGATTGACTGGAACCGCTGAAGTTTCGTCTGCAGGGTGGAGCTAATCAGGGCGCTCGCTTCTCGTGATGCACGTGCTCTGAATGCTCACGTTGTTTCCATACTTTGCTGGACTGTTGGTTGTAATTAGTGGCGATGGAGAACAGCGTCACTTTACTGTTCTTCATTATGGGCTAAATCCTGTCTCCGCGCTAACTGTAGTGAACCTAAACAACAAAAGTTGCAAGCTGTCCATATGTCAAAAGTTTAACCTAATTAACTGTGCATGTTATTTCTCTACAGCACTTCGAAAAGTTTTGTGAAAATCCATGCTATTTTTTAGGATATTAAGGCAAAAGCCTCCAGGAATTTATCGTGATTATTTACACCACGGTATCAGAGAGGTCCGTCGCCCTGGCCCGGGGATCCTTTCGTACAACGTTGCCCAGCCAATGCCACAGATAGACTGATCCGATAAATGAGTCCTGCTGTGCATCAGCTTGCGAGGCGGATGTTTATTTCTCCGAAATACTCTCTTGCTCAAAGTTTTACTTTCGAGGAGCAGGACTTGTGACCTCTTGATTAAATTATTCTGGGCTGTACTTCTATTTTCCTGTCAAGTCTTTCAAACTCCACTAGTTCAGCCGTGGAGGGAGCAAACTTGCCGTGAAAATACCGTAACTTGGTGACCTATAAACCGTTATCATTTGTTCGCCGAGAACAGGGACAAACTTGAACACCCTAACTCACTTTGCTGTGAAAAAATCAATCAAACCATAGCAAAATATCGAAACATCAAGACACTAGGATTAACGTGAAAAACTGTAGACATATACCTCCTTTAGCATTTAAGAAGGAGCCTCATTTCATTTCATAAAATATGGTTATATTTTCTGTTATATTCTTAATCCGCTCCATCAATGTGTAGTTTGGCATAAAAAACGTTAACAACTTAAAAAGCGGTCTACGTTGTTTGAATAATAGTTGGTAACCAAGAAATCTTTATTCCGAGCAGCCGCCTCGCCATGTAGAGCTTTGCATCACTTACGATTGCCCATCGAAAGCAGTCAAGTGATACTGTCTCCGATAGGTTCCCACTAGCTATGTACACCTAATTACTGCTTTTGCATGAAAAGTGAGTACCGGTTGAATGCTTTTGAAGTGAAGCACTTTTGGACTGCAAAATTACCCGTTTTTTTTGGCGCTATTTAGTACGATTTCCTCATAGTTGTCAATGAAGTGGGATATTGTTTGTAGAGAAAACTGCAAATGACTTTGCTGAAGCTGCCAAATCAAAGCAAAGGAACTGTGCAGGCTTTTGTCTTTTATTTACTACGATGTCTTTGATAAAAACGTTTCGTTTATCCCAAGTCTTTTTAGTGTTATCGGACTGCCAAATATGGCGCGTTGTTTACAACAGGATTATTGATGTGCCATAACCACAATGTTAGCCAAACATCTTACTCAAGCTAGTTCGACATAACTGAGCAGCCCGAGGTTTGAATTTCATCTGGAAATCACGTTCGCCAAATTACTATACTGTTATTATTCCGGACAGAGGGTGGTGTTACGGTGAGAATTCCTCATTGGATGATTTACCCCTAACCAATGGCTAGCCAACCGATTCGTCATGAAACAATTTCCCGGTCGGTAAATCAACATTTAAGCAGTGCGTGACTAGAATACTCGTAATTGAATTTGTAAGGGGCACTTAAACTGACAGACTACATAATAATAATTATAACCGCTTAACTTCATTTCATACTGAGTTGTAAAAAAACAACTCAATAGAAAAAAACTAAGGTTTATGCAAACGGGAAGCAGTAGGCGACAAGTCTCTCTGATTTATGGAGTAACAACAGAAACTAAGCATCGACATGAACCAGTTATAAGTCTCACAGTTTCACTTAAACCTGAAAGCAGCGTCACATCTTTGTTCTGTGGATAAAAGCTTTCTTTAGAGCGTGATTCGATCCTCATATCAAGTTATTTGATTAAAAAAGTAGTAGCCATACGCACTCTCCCAAAAAATATCCGTGTACCTGCCACAGCTGACACACACTCAAAAGCAAGCAATGTCTTCTCACCAGAATGCTTCACGGAAAGATTACCCTAAAAATGGTTCTCGTTTTGAAAGCGTAGGTGCAATTTGACACTGGCAGGTTCCTATAACAACCAAGCTACTTTTGTCACATGCTCCTACCCGAAGAGATTACCTTACAAAGCCGTGGTATACACCCAGTTCAATTGCATGCGATCTGTTCCACTGAATAATGGCTGGGTTTTGTCAGTATATGGTATCACATGGACGAAAAAATTAATTTCGTGCGGGAAACTACGGATATCTCTTGACAGCTGAAATGGAAGTACAGTACAGGCCAGCAATATGGTTTACTCAGACGTACACCTTGTCCAATCCGAATAATTGATGCTTCTAGACAATGTGAATTCCCGATACGCTAGAAAAGCAGCGCATATTGCGTAGACATTATAAGAATTTTATCGACATCTCACCATCGGATTCGCTTTTTCGGGCTCGTCATGTACGCAAGGACCCATTTTTTAGTTGCACATTACAAAAGACGTGACTCCAGTCTTGACGATTCTTTACTACTGATTTGAGGCAGTTATGAGTTACGACTTCTGCTGGTGTGTTGTTCCACGAGTTGGGGTAATGCTCATCCACTCATACAACACTCTTACCTGACAACTCCTCACCTGCGTGATGATTTGACTTAACTCGGCTGTTGCAATGCAACTCTATTTCTCCTTCCTTCCATAAAAAAAACGACAAAATCTCTAATGCGGCTGAATTCCATTGGTTGTTCCTTCGGCGGTAATCGAGAGGAAATACAGTGCAACCGACTCAGAAGTAACGTCTGATCCACTAAAAAACAGAACTGGAGGTATCCTTGTACTCCAAAGTAAATCAGCTAGTGGGCAAACTGCGTTTTTTCTCGTAACAACACATTGTGAACAACCAGAATGAAGCCAGTCGTAATTTATGATACATACGAGGGCTTCTGATGCAATGTTAGGTGGTTTGTGTTTGGCTATTGCTTCGGTTGTCCTGGACTTTATAAGGTACGCTCATTTGACTGAGGCTGATATAAAGAAAGCCAAAGCGTTGTTGCGTGAGTTACAGTGCATATTCTTATTATTACCAACATCTGAGGCACTTACATTTTTAAGTTATTTTACGGCTGATAAATAATGCCATTCAAAACGACAAAACATCCAAACCCAGCTAATGCTAATCGGTCTCATTTCGGATATACGAATGTATCTTCTAGCTACATGAATACTCGTCTTTCCCCATGCTTTGTTGTGTTGTACCCAAGAGATTGATTTCTCTTCATGACACACCGCTCAGAAAAGGCAAGTTTAGTAAGCCAAGTTGTTTTAAATCACCCGCTTTTGCTGTAAAACCTTTGTTACAAAGTTGAAGACCAACTCAGTTTTATCAACAAAAAACGTTTTTACTGCAATTCTCCCGCCATATCGCTCGGCGTAATGGCCTTTTAGTGATTTACAGGGCTTAGCTTGACGTCATTTTAAAAGTTTTAAACATTCGATGCGCCATATGTTAGGATTTGTTTGATTTTTGTTCGTTTTTCCAGTGAAACGATAAGCTGATAATTACGCTGTTCAAAAATCAGGTAATTATGTGCAGCTGATCAAGCACTACGGCACGAACTGGAAGAATGCTGAAAATTTTCCACTCTGAAACCATCTACTTTCCAAAAACAACCCTTGTTATATGAAAGCCCAACTGTGGGTTAGAAACCCCTCCCTTCGACCCCACTGAAGCAAACATGCGATAGCTGGGTTCATTGTGGTAACCAGGGTCGAAAAAGATGTCATTTGGTAATGACAGCTGCCAACTAAAACTGAAATTTGCTCATGCATAGCAATGGCAGTCTCTAAAATTTTGAAGTGCTTATGGGCACGCACCGGAAATGTCATACTCTTGGGTCATCAATACCTGATGCGTTTGTCATGCACTGCTCTGATTCCCAAATTAAAACTTTGGACAACTGAAATCCGATTACTTGACGCACAATATTTTATCCCACTACGTCTCCCCATACAACATACTACCCAAAACTTAATTCCTACAACTTAATGGGTCAAATCTGGGGCATTCATCAGTGCACGAGACTAGTGTCCGGTACCACTGCCGTAACAAAATACTAAAGTATAAGGTAGCCCGATTGTACCATCGGTTAAAACCTGGGACGGCCTTTATGCAGCACATTCAGTTGAGAAATTTAACAAGAAATACATTCTTTTTCGTTTCGGTTGAGTCTCCTGAAAGAAGTAAGTTGGTAAGCAAATTAAAGGATATTGCGAAGTTCGTAAAAGCCGGGTTCTGAAAGAACTTGACATTGACGAAAATTCGGAGACCGCGTCCACATAACGGACCCGAAAAAGGAGCATCTGGTCAATATTAAAACTCTTAGATGTGACTTCTTCCATAATGGATTGCAAAGTCTTCAAGAG